ACAGTATCCTGTGCCATAATGTCGTTTCAGTGAATTAATAAATAAATATGTGCAGTAAATATGTCAATGGAGGAAGCACTTTGTGAGGTCTTTACATTTATTTATTCATCTTTCTTGTATCCCAGCTTAATATGCAAGGACAAAACATTGCTCTGTTTGTTTGAACATCCCAACAAACTCAACACAGATACATTAGCTCAACCAATTTAGGACGAGATCTGTTTGGCCTCACCGATGAGAAATAAAGTGTTTGGGAAACCTGTTTGAGCACGTTCATTATGTTTGCTATTCTGTTTGGTGATGTTAGAGGAACAGAAATCACACACTTTATCTTTAAAAGCTTTTCCCCCCAAAACCATCCCATCTTGTAATCTAGCCGCTCGATTGGAATCATGTTTACTTTAGGTGACATATGGGGTAATTTGTGCATAAAGCTGTGAACGGGCCAGTGGAGAACAGTTTAGAGCACTGCTTTAGTGCACATTAAATATGAAGCGACTCAGCCGGCCGCTGTCCTGTTTGCCTGGCCCGAGTGAAGATGTACTGTTATTGCCGAGCGATTGTCCGACTGTTCAGTGGGGTCTTTCATTAGTCCTCTCTCATATCTGACCCACGAGACACTGGCCAATCACAATGCATAACATGCTGCTAGCGTCGTTCAGGGAGGTGTCAGTGCCGCAAAAGTCTGATGGGCTTAAAGCAAGTTACAGTTGAATAAATGTTGGGTAATAATTATATATACTTCAATGTTATCTGCATAAAACCCAGATATAGTACATAGTTTTAAGTGCATTAAATAGTTGCTCTGAGTTATGATTCATAATTATGAGACCATGAGTTATATTTTCTTTTTGTAATCAGTTTGAGTTTTGTAAATGAAAGTTATTATAATATTACAAATATATAAAGCCATCTGGGGTTTTCTATGGTGAATATTAATCAAATATATTCATTTTTCTTGTTAAATGTGAAGTTTGTAATTCCTTAGCCACTAGCTTAATTATGAAAATACATTTTTATAAAACACGTTTCCAGAGCACATCCTCATCTGCCATTGGTCGGACAAACAGATTTCCCTGCCCTAAACTCACGCCATTGATTAAGCCAGTGTTGCTATTGGGGCATCATTTGGGATGCTGGGGAAAAAAAGAAAAGAAAAAAACCTAACAATTGTTTTAAACAATTCTTCAGTCTTTACACTTTCCAAGGAAATCAACCAAAAATGTCTTTCTTATAGTTGTCTTTGCTTATTTAGCTGGGATTACAGAAAACATTTTATATAGTATTTTATTATTATTTATATACCATTACAGTTTTTAATAATATTTTGAATTGGCTTTTATTTTTTATCATTTCAGTTTTAGTAATAATGCTTTTGTCATTTTTTTTTTTTTTGATTGAAGCTTTTTGACATTTACAGGGTTTAAACATAGTTGACATATCTGAGCTAGCTTTTGTCATTTGTATTATTTAAAAAATATTTTATATAGTATACAATTTAATTAAATACCTAATAAGTGTGTATTTATTATGTATTTAATTTATACTAGCACTATTAATATATATTAATTTTAGTTGTATTCATTCAAATTAAACATTTCAGTTAGTTGACAAAGCAAAATTTCTCATTTTCATTTGTTTTTTTAAGTTTACGTTTTTCATGTAATATTTATATTTTATTTTATTTCAATGACCAGTTAGTTTTATTTAACATTAACAACACTGATTTGAACATAAAAAAGCACAAACCTCACCTTTAAATTGCCCCTATTGTGAATTTTTGAAAATGACCTTTCATGCAGTGTGTAACACAAATGCATATTATAAGACAATGAAAGTGTTTTTTGACCTTGCATGCATGTCAACCTGTTGTTGGGGACTCCCAAAACCAAAATATAAACCTTTCATTACCCATAATAGGGGCACTTTAAACTATAGTTATTTATATTGATGGCAGCATAAGTTTGGACAGTAGTTTTTTCAGTCTCCAGTATAATGATTGTATCCTCTTTGTAATATTGTGTTCTGTGTAAACAATAAGTTGAATCAAGCAGCCTGTCTGTCACCTAAATGAATCTTTGTTCAACTGATATGTGCGATGTGTTGTTTACAAATTTGAGAGGATGGTACTAGTGAGAAAATGTGTGTGTACTATTAAAAAAAAAAATAAACAAAAAACAATGCATCCTATTAGAAGAGTCTCTTTGATAGCTGAAAACATAGGACTTGCATGTGGGGTGGTGGACACCACCCAGTACTGCTGTGTTCGATACATCGATACGACGATGTATCGTCACAGAGATTTGACAATACGAGTATCGATACAGCTGTCTCTGTATCGATATCGCGGCACGTGCCGTTGCAGTGGACCGCTCTTAATTTGAATACAAGAACACCGTTTAAAATGGAGTAGAAAAGTGATCTGGCCGCAGAGGAACACAACTGGGTTGCCTGATATAAAGAGATGTAATCCCCGAAACAGAGCTTCCCACTTGCGCAATACTGAAATATTTGCTAAATGTGTCACTTATCTTTGTCAACCTGGCAACCATGTGCACGTGCTCTCTCTCCACTGTGGATAAACGCGCTTGCTTTCTGGAAAACACCAATTAGCTTGCAGTTTAGCGATCTCCACATCAATATTCTATTCTCAGACAAGTGTGATTTATCAGTGTTCATTTTTGAAAGAGAGAGAGAGAGGCTGTGTATGTATGAATTACCTCCGTTTTGCCGCGTTTCTCTATTAACAGTGAAGCTGTGGCTTTAATTTGTTTAGAAACGATGATGTTACCAGCTTCTTGTTGAGAAAGATAATGTAGCTCTTCAGTGATTAAGCTATTTTATGGATAAAATTGCGGGGCAGCGCTAAAAAGTTTGTCTAAACGCAAAAAAATTATGTCTGTGAGCGCGCGCAGCGTGAGTGACTAAACGTGTGTGCGTGAGGTACAGTGAAGACAGCGCATTAGTTTAGAACTCTTCTAATTTTTTTTTTTAAACGTAGAGAGTGTGTTGATTTGTACATTGATAACCTACCAGCAATGTTAAGATGATTTTAATATATTATAATGAGTACATTACAATATAAATTTATTGGAATGAGTACATTATTATTTATGGGCTTAAAAACAAGATGCAAACAATCAGAATATTGTACCTGGTGGGGAGTGCACAATGTAAACATGAAACATATGCCATTACCTATATTGTACTGTGGTACAGTTATGGAGGCCCTTCATAATGCAGAGTTCAAGTGCCTGCTCTGCCAATAGTTAGCAATGGCCCTATGGTATGCAGTGTTTAATAAACAGCTGTTTTACTAAATTCTGCTGAGGTGAAATTCAGTGCAGTCCTGTATCGTGATATGTATTGTATCGTGGCATATGTATCGTGATACGTATCGTATCGTGACTTTGCTGGTGATACACAGCCCTACCACCCAGTACTTTTCATTAAACCAGACACAGCTCGATGACTTTTCAATAGCAGGCCACAAAATTATTACACAACAAATAAGCGAGGATGATGCACGGCATGCTGGGAGTTTGGAGTTGAAAGCTTTGCCTTAATAAGCTTAAGAGAATGTCTTCCTCGCATTGAGTCGCACCCGAGGCCGGGGTCTTAACTTTGGGTTTTTGGTCTCCCAGGGCATCCCCTCTCCGTCTGCGGTTTATGCCAGTTCACCCGAAAGCCTCTCGCAGTGTCATGAAGAAACAGGAACGAGATGAAGGAAAAACATTGGGGTTGTAAAAGACTTTGTGCTGTCATGGGTTCAAATTAATGAGGGTTGAACGCTCTTGAGATAAATTTAGGCTTTCATATTTAATTATAGCCTTCTGCAGTGGTTGAGTGCGGATAAATCACACGATTATTGTGCTTCAGGGTTGTTTATAGCATTCTTTATGGTTTTTATTTTTGACTCATGAGTTGATATCTTTTCCTAATGGCAATGAGAAGTTGAAAGAGAAATAAGACTTAATAGTTGGATCATATGAAGTGCTCGGCTGGGAAACGACTGCTTTGAACCCTCGTCGCTCTTTCATGTAGGTAGCTTTGTCACTGCCTGTCTTTGGAGTTTTTCACCTTCTGACTTGTTGCTTGACACCCGCTCTCTGTGCATGAATAAATCAGGTGAGCGAAAGATTAACATCTTTTGATCAGCTATCGCACTGACATCGACTCCGACACTAAATGAATGTTTTATTTTGTATATGTGACGAAAAACGATATTCAAATGCACAGTCTAACTCGCTTGCCAAGAAATGTCATCTGGTGGCTTCGCATGAACTGTAATGTGGAATATCTTTAGATCTGATTGCAGTTTGATCTGGAATGTGGTTGTGTGATGAATGTTTCCCAGGTTCGGCATCAAGCGCTACAGGGATAGTTCATGTAAAAATGAACTTTCTGTCATCTGTTATTCACCATCATGTCACATGACTTGCTTTCTTCTTTGGAAAGCAACAAAGAAAAAAAGATGCTTTGAAAAATGTTTGAAAAACTTTTTATCCGACCAATGAAAGTCCAGAAATACTGAAAATACTGGGACATTTTTCAACATGTATTTCGCAAAAGAAAAAAGTCCTACGTGTTTGGAATGACATAAAGATGAGTAAACTATTTTTTTTATTTTGGGGTGAACTCTAAGTTGTTGAAGGGCTATTTAGACTGGGGATAAATTCATGTTTTTTTTCTTTTTCTAAAATAGCAGCAGGTATAAATTTGGTTCTGTGATGAATATTGATCTACAATTACACTACTATTCAAAAGTTTGGGGTCAGTAAGAATTTTTTATTTATTTTTTTCTAAGAAAATAATAATTTTATTTAGCAATATTCAGATCCATTAAATTGATTAAAAGTGACAGTAAAGAAGTTTATAATGTTACTTCATTTTACGATTTTTAAAATGCTTTTTTATATAGAGATTGTGCTCACACAAAGCAATTTATAGCTTATTATATTATATGTTAAAAATGGATATTTACTGTAAGACCTTCAGTGAAACATTTATACTGACTACAGATGTTTTAATTAATGCTTTAAGAATTTATTTTTAAAATTGACTTTTCCTGGACTGGAAATGACAATTTCAATTTTTTTTTTTTTTTTAATAAAAATAATACATTTATTCAGCAAAGATCCATTAAATTACCGTAAAAACATTTATAGTGTTACAAAAGTTTTATAATTCAAATAAATTGTTCTTTTGAACTTTTCATTCTTCAAAGAATCCTGAAAAAATGTGTAACAGTTTCTATAAAAATATTAACCAGCACAACTGTTTTCAAAATTCCTAATAATAAGAAATGACTCTTGTACTGCAAATAAGCGTATTACAATGATTTCTGAAGGATCATGTGACACTGATAACTGTAATGATACTGAAAAATCAGGAATAAATGATATTTTAAAATATAAAGCAGTTATCTTAAACTGAAATAATATTTCACAATATTACTGTTTTTACTGTATATTTGATAAAATAAATGCAGCCTTGGTGAGCATAAGAGACTAAATCTAAAGCTTCAAAACTCCAAATGTTTGAACGGTAGTGAACATTCCCAGCCATCTTTCTCTTTAGTGTTGTTGTGTGTTAGCGTGCGACTGCATGTGTGTGTGAAGTTAAATGAGTTTGAGTACTCAGGTTGGTGTATGTTCATACAGCTGTGGTCGTATCCCATCGTTACATCTGTTCGTCCCACTCACCCGCTATTCACAAACAGCCGTGCAGAGTTGTGCAGCGACCCCGTCCTCAGCAGGCCGAAGACAAACTGCCTGCCAGTGTGTTGATATTATCCCTCTCCTGCACCCAGGGGCGGCAGCATGTTGGAATCCTTTCATTCCAAACTGTCTTGAATACGATAATCTGGGGAAATCACAGCAAACAGGTATTTCTCCACTTAAACACACGACAGGGATGCGGCCCCCCTTCCCCCTGCACCATACGGGGCCACCGGCCCTCCTCACACACTCTGTGCCAGCTGCATGTGACGTGTTAATTTTGCATTTGCATGGATTCTTTGAGCTATTATGCTAGATTGGAGCTCAGGAGGGGCCTAAGATGCCCATGTCACTTTAGATTGAGCAAATCCATATTTCTCTACTATAACTCAAAACCATGATTAATCAGTTAGTTTGGCTTTTTTTCTTTTTGATGTAAATAATTTTACATGTACTGTAATATATTCAGCTCTGGTGATTAGGGTATATGATGTCTGTCCAATATATGCAGATTATGTAACTCCACATTCATATGCTATCTCTCTTATGGAAAGTCCTGCTAAAACCACCTTAGTTGCTGGTTTTATTGCTGGTCCTTTATAGTTATTAGCTGGTCCAAGGTGGTCTTAAAGATGATGGATTTGGTCTAAATGTTACATCATCATCTAGATTATTACAGGGTTTCCACAGTCATTGAAAACCTGGAAATGTCAGGAAATATGTAATAAAAAAAAAATAAAAAAACTTTAAATGTCCATAATAAGTGTTCATAAGTGTTCAGTTTTAAAATGTGTAATCAGCTATAAATACATTTTATAAAAATTAACAAAATAAATAAATAATAATAATAAAACTATAAATAAATGAAAGTTGTATATAAAGAATTATAATAATATTTATTTATTTAATTTTTTTTTATTATGCTTCAAACTTTGGGCTTGTCTGAGACTAGTCAGTTAGTGGGAGCTATTTAGTTTTATCTCCAGTAAAATGTAAAGATTTACATCATAAAAATGATACCTGCATGGCACTGGGGCTGCACAATTAATCAAATTTCTAATCGCAATTACAATTATGGATGCCACAATTACGTAATCGTTCAAAGCGGCAATTAATCATTCAAAGTCCACTTATGTTATTCTGCGTGCTTAAGATATGTTTTTTCCATTGTTTTAGTTTTAGTATAACATTATAATACCATTCATATTTGTACTTTTTTTATAATTTAAAGAAGAAACCAATCCGATGTATATTTGACATTTGAGGCTTAATACTATAGAAAAGCACTAAAGGTTTTTCAGCTTGTTTATTTTCATATAAAAATATGGCATGCAGTTGCATCAAACAATGGTATAAACATCATTCAATGTAAATTGTGATAATCGTAATTAATAATCGCAATTACAATTTCAAGGGAATAATCGACAATTATGATTTTTGTCATAATCGTGCAGCCCTACCTGGCACATGTAACGTTTCAGCATTTACAGTATTTAATATTCCAGTATTTAATCAAAAGATTTCTCCATATTCATTCATAGAGGCTGGATTGGCCCCGAATATAGAAACCAAAATGTGTAGAAATCTTATGGGTAAAGCTGGCAGACCACCGTAGACCAGCAAACAATCAACTACCGTATTCCAAAAAGCTGCCAAGACCTGGTTTTTCTAGCATGGTGAGAATTGGCTTGGAGAATCAAATAAGTGAAGCCGTCCCGGTTCTCTTCGAGATGCTCACTGAGAGAGTGTGCAGTGGCCGAGATCATGTTTTCTGTCGACACACTCCTGCTGAATCCATCAACAGGAGAATCTTCCACCCACAATTCCGAGTGAGCCGGCAATCCCTGTTCATCGCCACGGTAATGTCTTAAGCCTGAATGGCAAATGAATATTTTTGCAAATATATTGCATGATTTTACAGTACAGGGCCTTCAAAAGATACAAAAGTGGTAAACCAAGGACAATAATCTCTCAGAAATCACTCTGCGTGACCTACATCAGTTTTCATTTTACTTTTTATGCACAAGCGATTTCAACAACGTGCGCAGCTGCTTCGGGGACCACGAATGTAATATCGATCGTGCGTGCTTGCCAATAAGTTTTCTTTCTTTTAACATTAAAACATTACCTCGTGCAAAACGCCACAGACCTGAAGTCTCACCTCCGTGTGGAATAAAAGCGGTTAAGCCCAGAGCAGATTAGACTCTAAACCTCTGAATGTTGACAGAAGGGATCTCATTAATTTTCAAGGATGAAAAAGAGTAGCCACTCCTCAGAAGGGAGCAGCGTGTCTTTAATGCCTTTGTTTTGCTCTCCTGTGAACGTGTGTACTTCTCTGATGGTCTAATGAGGGACGCAGCGCTCATGCTTTGGCACACATGGCATCTGAAGCCCAGTGAATCAGTAATCACTAGTAAGCATAAATACCCGTCTCCTTGGTGAGAGCATCTTAAAGGAGAACACATGGCACTGCATGAAAGGAAGAGCGTGCTTCAGAATTCAACGTAATTGAGTATGACAGGAAATATAACTGGTTACCTCAAAGAAAACGCAACCAAATCAACAAATGATATCAGGCATCTGTTTTTGGAGAGCATATAGTATAACAAACATCCAGAGAAGAACGTGGGCCACAAAGTCTCCCACTAGTTGTTGTTGTTGTTTTTTTTACTGTTTAACATAATTCCTTCATTGAATTGCTAGAACCAGTGTTGTTTTAGTATTATTTATATAGTAGAATATATACTATTATTATTTATATGATATACTATTCTAATATGTATTATTTTAATATAATTATAATTATTTTATTTTATTTATACAATTATATTTAATATTATTATAATTGATAGTAATAATTATTTCTTTATTTTTAATAATTGGAATAAATTCAGTTATGTTTAAGGTAGATGCCATCTTATGTTTTCAAAGATTTATTATAAAATTGTATTATTTTTTTCCCAAAAAAATCGGTCTGCGATTATGAACGCGATTTTGCGTAGCTTGTCAGTGAACTACGGATCTGTGTAGTAAATGCTGGTCCATCTGAAAGCACGTGATGGAGATTTACTATTAATCACAGAACCGGCTTTACTGACGAGATGCGATTTATCGTGCAGCCCTAAGTTTGTTTGTTGATCCCAAAGTACAAAGTAGATGAGGAAAACTAGGAAGCCGGGTGTATTCAAAGCGCCGCCATTACTGTCTAGAGTGCGTGGAATGGTGTGCT